TTTCTTGTCCTTAACACAAAAGTGAATTGATGTTGAAACCACAACTCATATATACCGTTTGAAAAGTTTCCAAAATGGAAACGACTGCTCGTGTTGAAGCAATTCCTGTCCCATTGAAAGTATGAACGAAATCAGTTTTGCCATCACTCGTTCTATACTTTATACCTGGAAATAGAGCATCATGCGATAGGAATCAAAATTAGTGAAACCTAATCTTCGGGCTTGAAAATCTTTGCAATTGCTGGCAGAAGAAACTTCTCCATATCTCTGGCGCCCAGGCATCCAGGCTTCTATATCTATTTTACGAGCTGCTGGAGCCCCTAGCTCTTCAGACGGCATCAGTAACTGCCTGAATTAGTTACAATTATTGACAGACAAATAACCTTCAAACCGGCAATGAAGTCCTAAAGACTCGAAAATTCCTTTTTGGATTTGAACCAAATATTCCATCTCGCTCTCACTTTGCTCAGGTGTGCAAATGGTAAACATTTCTACTTTATTGAACTCGTGAACTCGATAAAGTTTCGCTTCGCTAGCCGAATGACTGATTTCTGGCCGAAAACATCTGAAACTTCTTCTGATTAAAATAAATAAGACACATTTCCACCTGCTCATAGAAACTAGTCTGAGTGGAAGATGGGAGGCATCCAATATTTGATTCTTCAGAAGGCTGGCAATCCCCATTTCTGCTGTACCTGACAACGCAACGTTCGGCTCATCTTTCAACGTATACTGAATCTATCTATGTATGTCATTCATAGTTTTTTTCTCATACTTGAATATTTTTGTTAGATTTTCTAGATAAAACACCACAAGCTTCTGTAATATCGAGGGATACCAAATCAGGAACCGTTACAGGTTTAAAGCCTAACGCGGTCAACCGTTCGAAAGTTGATTTCAAGAGAGCTCTTTCCAAATTAGCTAACGCTCCTTAAATATGTCACATGATTCAAAAAACATAGAAATGACGTACCGAGAAAGACGTAGCTGCGTTCACCACAAGCATCAACAGGATGAATCAAGGCTCTCCAACCTTGAACGAGCTTTTCTGCTGTCAACAAATTCCCAGTTCTTTTTTCACCCCATTCACATAGAATCTGCAACGGAAACTTCGACTGGTAATGTTTTTTTCTCAAAACTTTAGCATTTGTTTCATCCCCAACGGGAACGTCTTCTATTGACATATTGGGAATATCCGAGGCTAAATCATAAATCTTGAAAAAAACATTTCATATTGTATGAATTTTGAAAAAAAATTACTTCATCCCACATTTTTCGGAGCTCCAGCTCAGTTATTTTTGGTTTATCTTTAGTGTTAATCAGCTCCTCCATTTCTTTCCATTTTTTCAGCAAACCATCGATATCACCGACCCCCTTTCGGGATCTTAAAAGCTTGCTATTAGAGTCTCCCCCTCCTAAAAAAAACAAACTGGATGTTCAGTCGTATCATATCGGTATTCGATTCATCTAATAAAAAGTCGAAGTTCAATTCAGGTCTTCGAGTAGAATAAGTTGAAGTTGAGCAAAGTTTTAAATTTCGGGCTAGAGATCGCAATCCCAGCTTAGATAGGCTCCCAACACTCGTCATCTACTAAATACTGAGAAACACTGAATATAACGCCAAAAAGTATTTGATGGAAGCTCAGCCAAATAGGAAACACGATTTTGATTCATATTATATTAATAATTATATTCTCTCCTAAGAGATCAACAAATACACGTAAAAATTGGGAAAAAGTAACAATAAAAAATTAATTATTTTAAATATTTTAAACCTTTTCTAGAATAAAACTGGCTCTATTTCTTCTTTCTGTGCAGGAAAGACTGATAGCGCTCGTGAGCTTTTGAAATCATCAAAAATGAATGTTCAACCTATAAGAGACTAGTAAAGTTACAATTATGAAACTACGACATACACAACTAGGACCATATTTCAATGCAGCTTTCGATAACTGCCCCTCTTCCAATTGACGGAGTGCCGTATCCATTCTTGCCATCTTGAAAAAGGATGCGTCAAGTACCAAAATCAGGCCTACCTTTTCTTCTAACTCTTGAGTTATTGGAGGGAAACATGACCAAAAATGCTTCAGAACTTCATTGCAGGAATCATGCAATATGCGGACCTAGGTGTTACGAATGTGACGGTAATGAGCAAAAACACAAACTTCATTAAACTCCTGGGGCGTTAAGTTCCAATCTTTAGCAACCACCTTTTTAGTTTTTGAATTTTGGTCAGCAAGGGGAAACCCGTTAGTATCATCGTCTTCAAACAGGGGAAGCTCATGAGAAAGTATATCCTAAAAAACGATTCGAAACATAAAATGAAGTGTTGTACCTCATCAGTCGTATCATCAATAAAGTTAAGCACTATCCTCTTGTACTCAATTGCCTCTTCGGGAAGATAAGTTCTCTGAGAAAAAATAAGCAAATTGGGAGGATTCTTAGAAAGAAATATATCTTACAGTTGAATTCCGAGAAGCACTGTTAATCTTCACCACTTGAGTTATTTGTTCCTCCTTTTTCTGGGTTAATTCATCAGATTCTAGTCTTGTTTCCTCTTCGTCGATGATTCTCTGAATATTTTATGAAACTCTCGATTTTGATGTACGTTTCTACGTTCAAAATTGAAAAACCGGATCCTTCCTTTTCTGTTTTCTTGCTGTTCGATGAAGTTTGATTAGTTGTATTTTTCGCCAAGGTAGCTATGATCCTCTCAGATAAGTAATTGCACCGTCTCACTAAAGTTGTCTTCGGATCTGTTTTTAGAGCTTCTTTCTGAATAAGAACGTATAAACAGGCGACTACGATTTGGAACGACTATATAAAATCAATCTGAAAACCTTACAGCTGTGGAAGAATCAAACAAATTATCAGAGAGATGATCCAAATCGAACCGCTTCCTCTTTACTCCTTCGTTGACCAGCTTCTTGATTTCCAAATCGTCAAACTTAACACAATCGGCGAAAGGGTCGTGCGGGTTAGGAAGCACCTATTAAAAATAATATACACCTTTAGTTTTTGATGAAAAACCTCTCTTTGTCTATGATAATAATGAGATTGGAAAAACTTAGACCAAAACTGCTCTTCAGGCATTTCGTGTGGAACTAATTCCAAATGCTTTCTCTCCACTATAATGAGTATTTCTCATCAAATCAAAGCAGCGGATTATCTACCAGCTGGATATGTATTAAAAATTGCTTGGATAATTTCAGCGTTCAAATTCAGTTTAACTCCTTTAGTACCATCTTGGGTTGCTATGGAAGATAAAAAAGCTCCATTTACCCCAGTCTTCTCATCGCCGTTCTCTGGTTGCTACAAAAATGTACGTACTATTGATAAGATTTTACGTTCAGTACTTTGTAATATTCAACCCAGAAGTCTTGCGGAGTGATTAACTTGGAAGCTACAAGATGTTGATAGAGAAGCTGGAGCTGTTTGTTCTGCTGCAGTATTCTTTGTTTTGTTTCCAGCTCAGAGTGAACAGATCCCTGCTCTTGTGAAGCAGCTAACTTCAAAGCAAAATCTGTGTAATTAATAAACTATCTGATTCTTACCTGGTTAACTTTCGCTCTATGATCAATTAATGACTGTTGCAAAGTTTCTTTCAAAGCATCTCTTTGGTCTAAAAGTTGATCCCTTGATTTCGACGGATCCAAGAAAACAAAAGTTGCTTGATCTTCGTTTTGAAGACAAAGTTGTAATTGGACCTTCGGCTTAGTTGCCGCCGAAACTCGCTGACCTATATGATGTTAACAACAGTTACCTTTAATGATTTACACACCTTTGATTTGTATGAACTTAACATACAAAACATCCCCACCGGCATTATCTTCCCACTGTATGTGTTCACTAAATATTCGTTTCTCAGGCTTATTTCATAAAAGCAAAATCTGAACCTGTACAACAACAACCGGCCTATTGGAGAACGACCTTCACCAGCTTTTCGATACTTCACGTGGTTGATTTCAAGTAAAAGCTCCTCATTGTACGCATTCGCCATGAATAACTGTAAACAAAAAACAATATGTGAGAAGCCTTGGTATTTATTTGACTAAGGAGAAGCAAGTAAGCTACGGGCTAGGACACTCTTTATACGTCAGCAAGGCGCATAATTTGAAGCGGCTTTTGATTTGGTCATGCTTAGCGTTCCGATTTACTGCTGTACCATTTTGTATATTTTTTGCGTTTTAATCGAAAAACAGTAAAAACTTATTGAAGTATATATCCAATGTCTCGTGAAGATAGCACATCGCCATCTGAAATTCGCATTCATATCCCCACTATAGATGAAGCTAGTCAATATTCCGTTCCCATTAATGAAGATACAATCACTCATCCAATTCTCTCATTTTCCGATCCTTTGACTTCATCTGTTATTCCTATTGAATCAAATGACGATCGAAGTATTGATAAAGAAGCTAATGGTGATAAAAAAAAATTACGCAAATCAATTGATGAGCCGAAAGGACGTAGAAGAGATACCGCAACTTCTATCACGAACTTCATTCATCGATTCACTCGTTTCGAAAAGGAAGAAAAGACTAAAATTGCTAGAACAGAAGAAGAGAAACATGTTGAACGTCCGGATAAACTAACTTTTCCCAATTCTGAAGATAATGATTGGTAGTTATATTATTTGTTCATTTATCTATATTGCCATCTCTTATAGGTATCCTATGAAGGATTTCGTAAGTGATGTTTTTCGCACGGCCCTTGATATGGGCAATGAGCAGGGCATGCCTTTGTATGAGTGGAAGGTTGACACCTTAGACGAATCGATTGTGCCTGAGACTCCCTCTGGCAATGACCTTATTAGATTGCAGCAGGCGGATTATGAACACGACTCGATAGAACAAGTGAAGATTTTACTTCATTCATACCTTATTCAGTCGTTCTGTTTAGTCGCTCACTAGCATGCTTGAAGAATTCCGTTCGGGTAAAATGAAATCTTTCACCGACGAACAGCTATCAGACATGAGAAGAGCAAAAAAGCAACACGAGGAGATCACTAACTTACACCTTGTCTTGTGTGCCAAAGACTTGGATGTGTCTAATATTAATTTCAAGCATTACGATGAGCTCAGTGATAAGTTGTACAAAATGCACAGTCGACTAACAGATTTATCTGGTGGTGTTTCTTCCAATTCCTCTTTTTAATGCCTCTTGTTTTTATATTCTTTGTCTTCACATTTCTTGTTGAATTCGGGTATTTGTCGTGTATTAGTCTCTAATAAAAGAAGTTACAGGAAATGTCGGCAGCTTTTGCCAAACTTCTTCCTGATGTTAACAGTGTGGATAACATAATAACTGTAATGACTGGAATTCAAAGCAACGAAAACAAAGGTTTCAAATCCAGCTAAATCTCTCTTTCACTTCTTCTTAATTGTAGATGATGTTGTTTTGAAAATTGCTGATTTGGCTCGTAGGAGTAAAGATATTCTTGAGAAGAAGGCTCCAGAGCTTGAACCTTTTCTGATCAGATGTGAGAATATGGAGTTTGGAGCTGTAAGTACTTAGAACTTCGAAATATTAACAACTGGTTACTTGAAGCCCATGGTCGTTGCTGGAATTCGAGCTATGTACGACTCTGCTGTCGTTAAGAACAACGAGCAAAGCACAGACAGAGCGATTGAGGTTCTTAAGCACTACATGGACGACGGAACACTCAAATCAGAACATCTGAAATACTGTCTGGATATCTGTATGCTTGGATTTATTTTTGTCTGTTCAATGTATCTTTCAGTTGTCCCACTCGTCAGAAACGCCGTTTACTATTGCAGTGAAAAGAAGAAGCAGGTAAGAGTACCAACAAGGTGTTATTTACTCTAGTGATGTTTTAGCCAGCAATTGGTTTTCAAATAGCGGATAAAGCCATGTCTCTCGTATTTAACGAAGATAACTCGATTGTGTCTTCTCTTCATTCAGCTTTCCTATTCCTCTGTGTTGAGGTTAATAACGCTAAAGCTGCTTTACCTTACATTTATTCGCATGTCAGTGGACTCGTTAATGAGGTAGTTTCTAGATTTAAGATTTTTCTACTTCAGTTTCCAGAACCCTCAAGTATCGGAGTTCCCATTGGATCTTCTACGCAGTACGAAAGTCACAGTAACACAGTTTTTTGATTCTAAGTATCTTCTTCAATATCTTTATTATGCATCTCTGGTACTCCTGAATGTGGTAATTTTCCTTTTTTCTGTTCTCTTCTTATTAGATCAATTAGGGCCAGTACCGCCGTGCAATAATTTTTCTGGAACACTGCATAACTTTGCCAATCAGCAATCCAAATGGTTTACAACTGAATGCTTTCAAGAAGTATTACATCGTGTCTTTAATTTTACATGGAAGGTTGGATATACCTAGCTCAAGATCATCTGCTCTATTGAGAGCATGGAAAGCGTAAGTTCGAGAATACCTACAGTTTGCAATTTATTTTTTAGAGACCGTAGTGCTCCTTATTCTCAACTTGTTCAAGCTGCAGGAAATCCGGAAAATAGCATTGAAGAGGTCACAAAAACACTGAAAAGTAATGCTACCGCATTCAATGAGGTATTTATGCTCTTTTCGAAAGTTTTGTAATTTTTAATTTCTTAAGGATGAGAATGCGGAACTGGTCCAAGCTTTGATTGAAACTATCAAGTATAAGGCTGTATTAAAAGTTGCTAAGGTAAGCGAGTCTTGATTTTGTTTTTATTTATTTTTTCAAGTCGTTCTCGTCAATTACTTTAACCAACTTGGCTGCGAGAGCAAAACTTGTCGATGAATCTGATGTTATCCCGATTATAAATGTGAGTGAGCCATACCTGTTCCTTTTTGATTTATGCTCGACTACAGAAACTTGTCAATTCCGGTGAGCTGAACGCTTCTATCAGCCCAGATTCGAATGTAATCCATTTGGATCTACCCATTGAAAATATAAATAGAAAGGATATTGATGAAAGAATTAGAAAGTAAGGAAACTAAAGTAACGAGAACATTTATTATCCATTCAGACTGGAGTATATGTGCGGAGAAGTGAAAAAGATGGATTTAGCTGCTCGTCTTAACCCAATGCTCATCACACGCAACCTCAAAAACTCCAGTCTTTCCTATTTCCAAGATGATGAAGGCTTGTCAATGAGCAATAACCCTATAGACATGTAAATTTTTGTGTTGTTTGCTTTTCTGTTCTCTTTTTGTTAAAGTGTACGACATTATTTGTTTACTTTGTACAGTTTCTGTAAATCTAGCGGGTTTCAACATATGTACACTTTCCATATCTGTCATTCGAAATGAAGATATTCGATTTTTATCTTTTTTTTTTATCTCAGTTGATATGTTTGAAGGCATAACTCATATTTATAATTTTCTTATTTTCTCTCTAGTTTCCTGTTCGTGCCAAATATGTCATGCTTTTCTTCTTTGTTATCATTGCCCAACGTGTGACCTTGACATGGGTTGTTTTTATCGTCGTTTTCCTCTTAAATTTAACAATCTTTCTCTAAAACCTGTCCGCTTTCACCCTTATATGGCTTCAACTAGCAAACATTCATAAAATAATGCCATACTTACTCATCTCTACCCAAATTCGATTGGAATGTGGTCCAACTTTCGTAGGCGATGGAGCTTCAGATCCCACTTTGATGGAGAAGCTTGAAGCTTCCCCAACTAAGCAGTTGGGAAATGAGTACATGGTACTTTTTTTAAATTCAATCTACACTTTTTTCTGAAGTCTTCGGGATAAATATGGTCTTTCTATTTTGAAGGAATACGTAACTCAGCTCCCACCTCGTATCGTTTTGAACCGTTTGGAGAGCGATGGATGGAAAGTTGTGGCGATGGCAGGAATAGGACAAACTTGTGCTTGGACACTTCATCATTCTGAATGAATTATGAAAAGTATTATCCTGTGTACGAAAGAAAATAAACGTCCTGTTAGAAACTCTCTTTGCTCTTGGCTTGTTGTATTATTTCACTCCTGATGTTCTGCTTTTAAGCCTAGCTTTTTACCTGTTCTTTGCAGGTGTTTTCGAGAACTTGTGGTACTGCATAGTTTATGGTAATTCAATATCTTCAGAACCATCACTAGAATGGTCTGGCAGTGAGTAACTTTGTCTGTTAACTCCCTTTTCTTCAGGTTCAAAATGCTACGCTTATCAAAATAGCTGCTGGCACATTTCTAGCCGGCTCCACGGGTCTTTACTTAGCTCAAAAACATGTTCAAAAAAAAGTTAGGAGTCTTCCACATTATTCTGAAAGTCTTCGTATCGTGAGCGAGCACGAAACAGCCCTGGTTCGTTCTTCAGTTTCATTCATTTGAGTTTTGATGTTTAGTCGGCTATCGGAGCTCCTATTAAAGTGGGAGCAGTAGATCTTGCGGATAATCGACATAATTATGTAGGAAAGTTGAAGAGTCAGGTGATTCATTAATATTTCGACAAAATTACTTGTTCTTTTTTCAAGTTGAGAATCCCAATCACAGGATCTCTTGATTGTGGCCACATGGATGTGATGGCTGTTAGAACCTCCGAACAGAGCCCATTCTATACAGCGAAAATTCGGTAAGCAGTGTCAATAACTTGAGTATTTTTACTCTCTATCAAATCAGGCTTGATCTACAGAACGGCATCGTGACCATTTACGATACAAAAGACTGGAAGGATGTTGACGATAGTTTAGCTTCAGATTGAGTTCAATAAATGTTGAAATTAGATTTTACGATTTTATTGCTTTTCTCAAGTTATTCATACTTATTATTATCTTCTGCTTGTCTAAGTTTCCAACAAGCGTCTTCTCAATTCAGGTGATGCCTATTTCGTCATGGCTCGAGGAACTACAAGGTTGGTTTCCTTAATTGTTGTATCTGTTTTATGTTTTTTATTTGAAGTTATGGGTTGGCCATCCTTTTTTCAACCTCATATTGAGGTGTTGCTAATCTGGATAACATGGGCTTTAGATTATATTGATCTTGACTACCTAGAGGTCAGTTGATCAGTTTTCACTACTTTTTTTTATCAAACGGTAGATCTTATCAGTGCTTCATCCCAATGTGCTGCTAAAAAGTTTTCTGAACTTTAACATTTTCGCCATCCATATTTTTGCATATTTTCGTCGTTGAATTGATTCATTTCTATTGGTAGTATAACACCACATGCTGTCTAAATAAGGTTTTAATTCGCGAAGAGAATTTTGCTTTTTGTCATTTTACATGAGGGTGCTTGTGATGTTGCATGATATTGATTCAGCGCTTGGCTGAGCTCACTGGCTATATTTGAAATTTACAAAAAAAAAGAATGGAGAACAATATTTACCCTTTCCATACCTTATCTGTTATCTTATCTCATTAGTTCTTCACTAGTTTTTGAATTTGATGTGATTCATTGGTTTACCCCTTCTCAGTCTACAATTTGATTCTTTCACAGAGCTATCATCTCTTTTGATATGAGGCGAAAATGCTCATGACTATTTGGCCTTTTAGTAATATTCAAGCGTTTTATATGAAAATTTTTGATGAGAAGGTATGAAATTTGAACAAAAGTTGGGGCAGGAGCTTTATTAAATTTTCTTTTTCAGCATCTCCTGTGGCTTTTGTTACCCTTCATTATAGTTTTCGTAATACCTGCTATATTAGTAGTGTTCATTTACGGCTGTATCATATTCTTGCATGTCTACGGCCTACGTCATCAGGTTAGCAGAATTCAGAGGAAAGAAGCAATATTCTGCTTAGATACGAGAAGCTTATCATACTAGTTATTGGGATGGAGCACGCGTGGCGATCGCTTCTTTTTGGGACGCTGTTGGTTCAGTCTGGCATGGTTAGTTTGAATGCAACTACCTTGTATTTAACTTCCTTCTAGGGTATGAACTAAAAGGAATCGAAAACGTTCCTGATGATGGTCCTGCTCTCTTCATCTATTACCATGGATGTCTCCCTCTCGATGTATACTATCTCATATCCAAGCTAGCTATTCATAAAAATCGTGTTTTGCATTGTGTCGGAGATAAGTTCATTTTCCGCATACCAGGTTGAGCTTCATCTGATAACGATCAATATTGTTTCATTTTCAGGTTGGAAGCCTCTCTGTAAAATGTTCAGCATAACACCAGGAACTGTGGAAGAATGCACTAAAGAATTGTTAGAAGGAAATCTTCTGTGCATTGCTCCCGGAGGTAGTTGAGTTGTAAAATTTTTTAATAATATGTACTACAGGTGTTCGAGAAGCTTTGTTTTCTGATCCCAATCTGTATGATATACAATGGGGCAAACGGTTAGGATTTGCACGTGTAGTCATTAACTCCAAAACTGTATGTGAAAAACTTTCTCCAAGCGTGAAATATTCTTGTTCCAGCCTGTCATACCAATGTTCACGGAAAATTGTAGAGAATCTTTCCGGACCCCTGAATGGGGAAGAAGCTTTTTCCGATGGATTTATGAAAAAACTAAAATACCTTTGTGTCCTATATATGGAGGTTTCCCTGTAAAAATGGTAACCCATTTAGGAAAACCAATAACATTTGATTTCGACAATGTCTCTCCAGAAGAGGTTTATTATTAATTTAACATAAGCATAATTAATGATTCTATTAGGTTCGTCGTCAGATAAAACGGGAGATTCGTGGCTTGATAAAATCTCATCAACGACTACCGGGTAGTATCATTAGAGGAGTATTACAGAGATTCCAATCGAAAAAGGAGGATGAGACTCCTGAGCAAGTGGTACGTGCTTTCGATACAGAAAACTTTAATTATTCGGTTTATTCTTGTTCCAGGAACTTCTCACGGGTCCTACATCTGATACTAAGCTGGAAGATCAAATTCTCCCAAGAGTTGAATAATTTTCAATCTGAACATATCGATAGCAGGTTAGACCTTACATTTGTATGATAAATATCTGTATTGCTGATGCTGAAAAATAACCTCTCATTCATTCGAAAACTACCCTCTTGAACATCATTTTCTGCACATAACTGTAAGTATTGAATATTGTCTTTGAAATATTTTATCAGATTTCATTCCTTCATCTTGTAAAAAGAAGTTCTACTAGTTTAGTTTTCATAAACTGTGATTATAAGAAGCGTAATACTGTTGTTCGTTCATCCATCAAAGCAATATCCTCTTTCAAAGCATTCATAAGATTTTAAGTCTAATATCTAATAAATTTATTTATCGTTCTGATTGATAGGTATAGTATTGACCAAATGACGTAAATCTCCTTTGCTTAGAGTTATAACTGTGAGTAGAAGAAGGAAATTGGTTACTATGAGTATTGTTGTTACAACTTAAAACAGTGAGGTGCTTAGTTTGAAAACCTCAACTTACTTATTGTGGAACAACAGATCGAACCTTCTATACGAAGAAGATAGTTTTGCGGTTCGAAGCGGTCTTTCTTCAGAACAGTTTTGTACTTTTCTTCTTTTTCTTTCTTGTTTTCGCTTCTCTTCTCTACTTCTTTCACCTCTTTCTTCTTTTTCTTTTGCAAATCACCAATCAAGTCGAGCATAGCTGAATGGGGAGCTACTTTGCTGTGTAGAGTATCATCATTGGCATCTCTTAACAAACGATCAAGAACGTAGAAGTGATGAATGAGAATTACGTAATAGAAACATCTTGCTGTTCCATATTCATCTTGTTCGCTTATCAGAATAATTAAAACGACCAGCTCTCTCGAAAAAATAAGAAAATGGGTTCGTAATTCAAAGTTCCCGCATGTCCACCACGTAAAAATGACGTGGCAGACGCGTGTTTTCAGATACATCGTCATTATCATCATCGCACTAGTAACATGTTGCAAAGCAATGAGTATTCGTTTTCGAAGGAAAGTTTATTTTCTATTTCAGTGGAATAAGTTGGGTCAAACTTCGTAAGTCGGTCAATCAAGACGTGGATGACCTCGATTCTAAATAAATAACTAATCTTAATTTGCTCAAATATCTTAGGTAATTCAAAAGTCGCTTAAGTTATTTGTAGTTTGAGTGCAGAGTACGATATGCTCGGGGCCAACAACATCCACAACCATCTTATTGAAAGTGTCAGCGTATGTTTACAACTCTATTCAACAAGCCTTGTGAAAAAGAAGAGTTTGGCAGTGTTAGTAACAGGCTCGGTTATTAATTCTTTGATAGCAGTAGAACAAGTTTATTAAATGGGATGGGCTACTCTTACGCATATAATAATTAGGACAGTTGAGATTTGAAAGATTAATCTAGAACAGAGTAAAAACATTCATCTTAGTTCAAGTGATACTGTTTATTGGGAATCCTTTGATTGAATCATTATTTTGTGCACTAGACAAAACCTTTAACTAAGATGAGTACCTAAACACTTTTTATTTCGACGTCTAACTGTTTACTTCGTTTTGTGGTCTATATTTGATCTTTTTAACACTCATTTGAGTCTGTGGCTCTTTCCATCAAAAGAATTTAATTTCTGGTGGAATTTTGAGAAGTTCAATGTCCAGTTTTGATGTTGTTGATTCAAACATTTAAGTTGAGATCGCTTCTACCTCATAATTAGATCGCTTCAGTAGATAAAATAATTCTAGTATGTTAACTTCTCTCGTATACACGCTCATTCTGGCGCATTGAAGGAAAGATCGTGTTTGAAACAAAAACTTAAAGCTAGTTCATTCACAATAGCAAAAAATGTCCATATCGTTTTGGTTATCCCACTATTTCTCTTTCATGTTGCATCTCTCTCTCTCTCTCTACAGTTTTTAGTAACCTCGTTCTGCATCCTTTATCGTTTCTCTTCCCTCTCCCACTTGGCTCGTTTCCTCCTATCTTTACGTCCTCAAAAAGATGACCAGTGTCCGAAGAGGTCCAGTTACAAAGACAACCTTCATCATCACATTCGCTCCATAATTTTACTTTTCCAAAAACAGATATTGATTATCTAATATTTTTTGGGAAGTGATTGACCTAAACAGGCGACTTTCTCCCGATCATTCATCATATAAAGACTCTTCTCAATAGAATGTTCGAAACTTTCATATCTGTAATTAACAAAACGTCGCTCATATTCTCTTTCTTCAAAGTCGTTTTTTATGCATTGGTACCTAAATCATGTTGATAAAGTCAAATATTAGTATAATATATCTCGGAATTGTTATTTGCTAGCTTTATAAAGCCAAACCTTCAGTTATAAGAACTCAGATATATCATCAAATAGTATTTCTGTCCCCCCTTCTCCACATAGTCTCTCTTCCATCCTTCTCTTTTTCTCGTCTCTCTTCTTGTTCCTCTTTCTCTTCACCACCCTATGTCTCCTCACCTTTCTTTTCGAATCTCTAGTTTGCGATGTGCCTGCCTGTATCGCACTGTCAACATCCGAGGTAGAGGAACGATCTTCGTTTACTGGTCACCTTCACGTCGTTTTCTTCTTCTTCCATTAACCCAATGCATTCCTTAATCAATTCCTATTCTCTCATATTAATGCGACTCCTCATTAGTTTATGAAAATTGAACAAATTGTTACCATAGCTAGAATCAACTTGTTCAAATTGAAAGTAATATTTTGGAATATTAATTTGATTCGATAATGTTTTTCTCTGTTCTTCATTTAAGATGTTCAGCAAGTTATGTGTTCTGCGAGAACTCTTGTGTTCCCGCATAAGAAAACTGTTTCTTGTCAAGTAAAACGTAAAGCAATGATCTTTTTGTTTCATTGATGCAATGAGATGTTTAGCACATGGTTTTTTCTTTGTGAATGAAGTAAAATCGATAGATCACGCAATGTTGCCTACTTATCAGTTTTCTCATTTGTTTTCAAACTTTTCCAACTTTACCTTTTCTTTATGTAAAGGCTTTGTTAATGCAGTAGTGATTCTCCTTGTTCTTTACTATACACGGCCATCAAATTAAAATTCTGATTTTCAGAGTATTGCTATGAAACTGCCTATCTTAATATTTTCAATTCAAGCTCTGGGTATTCTCGCTTCAGATAGTATCGTTGAACTTTCTTCGGGTAATCATGATCACGTGTTAGCTTCATCTCAGGTGAACTCTTACTTTTAAAGCATTCCTTTTATTCAAACTAGTTCTACTTTAGGTTGTTTTTGTTGCTTTTTGTGCGGATTGGTGTCCATTTTCAAGAAGATTGAAACCAATCTTTGAGGAATCAGCTGAAGTTTTCAAGAGAGAAAACCCTGATGCTAGTGTTACATGGGCTATAGTAGATAGTGTTCGCCAGGTGAGAGGATTGAACGTACTGTGAAGCAACTTCGATTTAGGCTGATATAGGTGATAAATACTTTGTGAACAAATATCCAACTATGAAGATATTTGTAAACGGAGAACTGATACAAAAAGAATACAGGTACAGCGTTTTTAAAAGTTTTTCCTCCACTGATCAATTCACCCTACAGATCTAGTAGATCTGTCGAAGCTTTAACAAACTTCGTCAAGTATCAATTATCGACTTCAATGAATAATTTCAACAATGATGAACAATTGGAAAAGAGTATGGATCACACCAAGAGGAACATAGTCGTTTGGCTCCAGCCATCTTCACCAGCTCTCTCAATTATAAAGGTATCTATCTTTGTTCAAATCATTTCATATCTCTTATTAGAAAGTTGCTGCTCTCCTGAGAGAAGAATGTGTCTTCTGGGCAACTGAGAATAGTAGTACGGATAAGTTGTCTTTCTATGACCCCGATGATAATAACAATCAACAAAAAGTAAGTATTTCTTTAATTTTCGTCATGAAATTATTTTGTTTTATAGTTCACGGGAAATATTGAAGATTATGAGTTTGTGAAACAGTGGGTTACTGACAAGTGCATCCCATTAGTTCGAGAAGTTACATTTGAAAACGTAGAAGAGCTTACAGAAGAAGGATTGCCGTTCCTTCTTTTCTTCCGTGATCCAAAAGATAAGGAAGCAGATAAACTTTTCACTGAACAAGTAAATTGAAACTTCTCTGGAACAACGTCGCTCTAATTAATATTATAGGTTATTAGAGAGCTGTATGATCAAAGGTCCTCAGTCAATCCTCTTCTGGCAGATGGTTTCAAGTTTGCTCATCCTTTGAAACATTTAGGAAAAACCGGAAAAGTGATTAAATTCAATTTTTCATTTATGATTTATGCCATTTAAGGATCTCCCCGTGTTGGCGATTGATTCATTCCAGCACATGTTCCTTTTCCCAGATATGTCTCAACTTACAGTCCCTGGAAAGCTCCGTGAAGTAAGCAAATCATAACATTACCACCAGTAGTTGTCACATTACTAGTTTGTCATGGATTTACACTCTGGCAAGCTCCACAGAGAATTCCATGAGACCTTAGATCAGAAAATGATAGAATTGGCGAAATTCAAAGCGGAAAACACTGTTGACAATGATTTAGTAGACAACGGAGAGGTAACTTGTATGAATCAGCTCACAATATAATTTTTTCATCAGGACGGTCCACCAGCTGCTCGTCCTTCAGATACAACTCCACCACCTTCAGTGTTCAAAGAGTTGAAGCCAAGTGAGAAACGATACTCAATACTTCAAAAAACGGAATTATAATTTATGAGCTACTCATAAACGCAACCCTAGTCCTACTTATTCCATTCCCATCCCGAAACATCTTTTTCTCTTCCCCAAAGATCGACTACAAATAATGTTTTCTTGAGTTTTCTTCACTTTTCTGTTTTTTTGGCATATAATGCTTTCGGGTTGTGTGTCGCTTTTTATCAGCTCGTATTATCCACAAATATCGTACGCTGCAAAACTAGCCACAATACTTTTATAAGATTCATAATGTGTATTTATCTGTGATAATAAATTTATAACTATTCGACAATCCAATCGTGTGAAACTCGGGGTTGGTTAAGCGAAATATTTAGTGCCATCTACTTGTCGTTATGGTTGTTCAACACTCTTGACGACTTTTTTTCATAAACAGAAACATGTAAAGCTTATTGATCAATGAAGGTTGATCAAGTTCCGTCTCAAATTTTTTGAAATTTTGTTGGAACGGCAATTTACAAAACTTGATTCTGTGAAATTCTCCAATACAACTTTCTTTCAAGTTTAGCTGATTCAACTGTGCGCACCATATAACCTTTTTGATGAACCGAAGATATTATCATATCATGTTTCATTTATGTTTGTTTGATATTTCGAATTACCTATTCACTATAATAATAATAAAAAACTTGAAAATTGAAGTGATAGATGTCATTGTTGGATTGATCGCTCACCAGGTTCCGCTTGAGAAGATCACAAGTGGGTTGGTTGGAATACATAACAGAGATAGTTTCTACGTCTCTACGTCTATACATCTTATCAGATCATAGATACACTACATATATTTAGATATCGACAAAACACTTTTGAAAAATGTCCATTTTTAGTTACGGTTGCAAGCCTGCTTCTCAATTCAAGTCTTTTAAGATGTATGCCGTTTACGAGATAGCGCGCCTCATATATTTGGCCACGCCTCTTGTTATAATTCAAATGTAATGCCTACTTTGAAAGCTAATTAAAGTTGTTATTTAAGATGAGTTTATTCGGTACGGCCAAGCCGGCGTTTGGAACTAATCCTACCACATCTTCGACTCAGTCTACAGGTCTGTTCGGATCTACTACCGCAACTTCTTCAGCTCCCACAACAGGTTAGAATTGTTTGAGCTTGAAAACATTCTCTCCTTAGGCCTTTTTGGAAACACAACTACTACTTCAACAGCACCAGGCGGTCTCTTCGGATCGACACCGACAACATCTTCGGCATCAACAGGCATTTTTTTAACTTTGTTCTCAAATTTGTGTGTTTTTAGGATTGTTCGGGTCCACAAATACCGGCTCGGCTCCTTCCGGCGGATTGTTTGGGTCTCCTGCTACTTCAACAGCATCTACAGGTACGAAAAAAAAATTGAAGTAGCTCAAAGTTGGTTGTTTAGGCCTTTTTGGAAGTAACACCACGCAGGTATGGTATGTTTCCGATTTTCTACTCTACTAATTCTTAGAACACTGGGTTGTTCGGAGCTGCTAAGCCTACCTTCGGAGCAACATCGTCCGGTAGTACGTTTGGCTCAACTACAGCTGGAGGATTGTTCTCTAAACGTAAGTTGGAAGAATTCAACGCTTAAATGTAATTTATCCCAGCTGCCACTACTGGTTTTGGTGGTACTACCGGGGGAGGTTTATTCAGTTCAAAACCTGCAACCGGAGGGTTATTCGGCAGCAATGCTCCTGGCACAGCTCAAAACAATGTCGCACCCGTTAGGCAAAGAGATACTTTACCAGGAATGATAATGGTTAGAAATTTTTCTACTCCCATTTAGATATATTTCAATCGAACATAATTAAGCAAGCCGATGCTGTTGTGCGTTCCTTGACATGTCCCGAGCTATATGGGGACGAGCGCGATAAAATAATTGGGAAGCTTAACCAGGTATTTGATAAGTATTTATTATTATTGTCATAAATATATCAGGTTGCCGCCGCCTTGGGAACTGGAAATGGATTCTGTAGAAGCGGTGAATCAGTTCCCTATAACTCTGAAGGACCATTTTATAGATTAAAAGTAGGTTTTCACTGCGTATTCTTCAACTTCTGATTTAGGCTATCGGCTATAACACTGTTTCCGAGTTTGGAGATGCTGATGGAATGGTATCTCTTTTTTCTAAGCTACCTAAATCAGAGTAAGTTATAAGTTAACATATCTTACATGTTCTCAATAGGTTTACGACTTCTGTACAAAGACAAAAACTAATTGATGGGCTTTTCGCCGTTTTGGGAAGTCAGCCTAATATGCAACCGAAAATTAAAAATGTCAAACCCTTACCGGATAATAACACGGAGGTTTGGTTATGACCCAGGATAGTTATGATGGTTTTTCCCAGCTTGTGGTTTACGTGATTAACAAAGGTTCTGGAACACATGCGTCCAGTAATGCTTTGGCTCAGATTCTGAATGAACCTGCCAAAAAGCAGCAGTTGGAATCCCAGTTCAAAATAGAGAAAATACTTTCATTAGCTGCAATGGACAAATATCAGATGGAGAGATATATTAAAGATCCTCCTGCAGGTTTGGAATTGTAGCATGTTGTTGGAAATATTTTGTTTCAAGGATTTGATGATGTGTTATGGCAGCAATCAGCAAGGGAAAATCCAGATTCCAAGCAACTGATCCCATACCCAATAAGAGGATTTGAGGAATTGGTTCAACGACAGCGTTCGCAAGCTTCTGAGGTGGTTAATTTTTTTAGAAGTTGGTCTATAGAGTGTTCCAGGTTCAAATTCATGAGCTTGCCATCACTGCTATGCAGAACAGACTAAACTCGCTGAAAAGCTCATCCGAGTCTGCTGCCTTGAAAGTTTCTCAGCAGAAAGTTATCAACAAACAGTTATCTCACAGGCTTTTACGGTAACGAAGTAACTCCAACTTCTCTGATGAAAATTTTCAAGAGTTTTATGCATGCAATTGATCCAACAGCGGTTTGGAAAAGGTATCGATGCCTCAGAAGAACAAATACAGTGTGCTCTGGAGAACATAAATGCAAGATTGAATGCACCGCAACAAATCAAAGTAAGAAGCTCTGAGCAGCTCTTCTAAATACATATTTAGCCTCTCATTGCTGAACTTCTTGATGTGCTCAAAGACGAGAACTCTGAATTGAGAACTAAAGTTGCAAACACAGCCTCTCATACGTTGTCTGAAGCAGATATTCTCCAATTGCAAAAGTATTTCATTCTATCATTTATGTTTATTTTCCGCATTTTTTGTAGATATTTGTCGAGATGTCAAGATGGTTTGGAAAGTTTATCAAATGTTGTACGGGAAAACTTGAAACATGTTAACGCAATGGCTACAGCAATGGATTTATAGATAATGTAGCGGTTTTATCTTTTGTTATTTGTGAATTGTTATTGAAATCTCAAGTTGTTCATTCGTATCCCGATGCCCCATGATCTTAATTTATGAACGAAGTAATCCTATAGTGTTTCTACTCGATTTCATGGTCTTAGCCATATATACTCTATGTTCTATGAATGTATTATATATATATATATATATATACATATATTTATATTTGTATAATTTTACAGGAATGGAAAATTGGGATAAGAAAGCGAGGTCGGAAGCTCAGCGTCTTCAGAGTATCCAAGATAGAATTGATCTTGAAAGGAAAAAGAAAGATGCTATCCGGCTCTCGCTGCATGACGTGGACAGTCATGAAAAATCAAATAAGAGAATAACTTTCAATGACAGTGATTCTGATGATAATAATACTGAGGTAATTGATATTTTTTGTATTTGTAAACAAATGCTCATTTCTAGATTCTACCTAGTACATCGAATGAAGCCGAAGAAGAAGTAACAAAGGACAAGAGTTCTAAAGCAAGTTCTAACAGAATGCAACTTTTCGACGATGATGATGAGCAAGTAATGGATGATATCGTTTTTGAGAACAAGCATAAAGGAAAAAAAGGTAACCTCTGTTTTAGCATTTTAACTCACACGCTGCCTTCAGGAGAGAAACTAATGAAAATGGAAGCTCAATTTGTAACCGATGACCGTTTTAAAATGGGCACCAATTTCCTTAGCGAGAGTGAAGAATCCGAGAATGTGAGACAAATAGCAGTGAAGATATCTATATTAATAGTCGATTGAAGGAAATGGAAGTGGAGAAAAGGAAGAATCGTGATCTGTTGTCTAAAGTTCTGGGAAAAGTTGTTCTCCCGCAACAAAAAACTGTGAACGTAGTTGATACCAGAGATTCTGTTCCTCATAGACCTTTCACAAGGTAAAAGGGTAGTTTATTTTATCTTATTATCTCGGAATAGGTTTGATCCGACAAATGCCGAACATGTTGCTTGGGTGAAGAAGTATGGGTCAAAGATAGCTGAAGTATGACTTCATGCATTTTATTACAACTGTAAAGTTTTTAGAAAAAGACTAAGAAGTTGCCAACTGCAAAGGAAGAGAACGAAAATGAGGAGAAGGACAATAGGAACCCGAATATTGATAGGACAACAGAAGAAAAGTTTTTCGAAGTTGATTCACAGTTTTCTGAAGAGGTGAGGAGCTGTATAAGAACATCGTAAGAGTCTTATTTTCCAGTTGAAAGCAAAACTTCAAAAAGAGCAGGGCACTGACTCCAAGGAAGAAAGTTTCTCTTTTCTTGCTTCGGTTGGAAGACCTGCTTCCGAGAAAGAACAAGCGGAACCTCTGAAGGTTAACTGACAGACTCATAAAATAGAGATGCTCATGATTCTATTACAGGAAATCGCAGATGTTACTCTTTCCTTGCCAACACCCAAGACTAAAACCCTAGTGAGAGAATAGCAATAACTATTTAGAAAAAATCGATTTTCAGACTTTAACAAAAGGCGGTGTTAATTTCTTCATCAGCTCCAAGGATTCACAAGTGATAAGTGTTATATCAAACTTTAGAAGAACCCAATCAGAAGCAAAGACATTGGGTGGATGGACAAACTATCGCAATTCTATAATGAAGGTAAACTGAGCAGCCATCACATGAATTATTTTAACTTCAGATATATCATCATCAAAGAAAGTTAGCGCTGAAAGCAAAGCACAGAAATCCTAAAACTCCTATGGCCAATAGGAAGAGAAAGGCTGAAGATAAAAAGACCGAGGAGGTTTCAGAGAATAAGTAGTTATCTTGTTAAAATTGTTGTTATTGTTGATTTTTAAGAAATTTTTAAAAAAAATTTGTTCAAAGAAAAAAAGTTTCTCTTTCTCGTTTTATTTCACTGGAGAGATCCATCACATATATGAAAGTTATATTGCGGAGTACATTTTCTTTCAGATGTCTTTTGATTCAATGTTCAAAGATGTGGTTCAACTCCGAAAACCAACCTACTATGATTTACTAGGTTGTGATGAATCCTCTTCGGTACTCTCAAACGCAGTGCTTATTTCAATATAAGCCATTTTTTAAGGCTGAACAAATAACAGCTGAATATAGATCTAAAGTGCGAAGTCTTCATCCAGATAAAGCAAGAAATGTTGAAGGTCATGACGACTTCACCCGATTCCAAGTTAAAAACAAGTGTTAGAAATTACTTAAACTAAGCTTAGGCTGCTTACTCTGTCTTGAATGATACAAAAAGACGAAAACTGTACGACTCCTGGCTTTCCTGTCCTATCCAAATGAATTTCGAAAGCTTTGAACAGAACAGTGATTCAATCCGTCAAGTTGGTTTGGTTTATTTCATTATAGTAATCAACATTTAGTCGATGCACTGGGTAACGCCTAAGACTGTTCCCATGATACCTGCAAACGAGGATAATAGCGAAACTGTTTCGCGCTGGACTGATCGTTATAAATCTGAAGTCACGGAAAGATTTCGCTCATATCAGATATGAACCCTGTAGTTATACATGTATATTGATATTCCACTATTATATAAAATACCTCTAAATGCTGTGTTGTAT